ACTCCGTCACCAGCCCTGGCATCAGAGTGCTTTGTTAGGCCCTTACCGATTCTTCGACGTCAAGGGTATCCAGGAAACAGACCATAAAGGCCAATCACTGGTGAATGTGGAGGAATTAAAGGTTGCCATGCAAATCTATGAACGGTTCAGTACAGACTATCCGCAAGTAGACTTGAAGGGGAAGATTGGAATAATCACCCCATACAAGGCCCAGTTAGCTGCGCTCCAGAACCAGTTCTGTGCTCGATATGGACAAAGAATCAAGGACGAAATCGAGTTCAACACCACCGACGCTTTTCAAGGTCGAGAATGCGAGATTATCATATTTTCTTGCGTCCGTGCTCGTCCTACGGGCGGTATTGGTTTCATGACGGATATCCGTCGTATGAACGTTGGTCTTACTCGTGCAAAGTCTTCGCTTTGGATTCTCGGAGATTCCAGAGCTTTGGCACAGGGTGAATACTGGAAAAAGTTGATCAAGAATGCTAAGGAAAGAAATCGTTACACTTCTGGCGATGTTTTGTCTCTGCTTCAGAGGCCCGGACCCAAAGTCCTGCCGCCGAGCTTTGAAAGCCGTCCACCCTCTACAATGTCGACACCTGCACAGAATGCAGAAGCCAGATCCGAGAAAATGGGCAAAGCCCACAACAACGCGTCCCCCCTGAACACCAAGAATGAGGACATAATCATGGAAGAAGCTCCTCCCATTCGTGGAACATCGAATAGAAATAAGACACCTCAGCTTCCTCAGACATACACGGTTATCAGTCACCAGGCTTCAGATATGCATTCAAAGATGCAATCCCCATCCTTCGGTGGAATCAATGAGCGTGGTGAAGCAGTGAGCGTCCCGCAATCATCCGATCGACCTGTTATACATCATTCTGGGCAAAAACGACCTCGAATAAACAGCGATGGAGGCAATGCGGCGAAGAAGGTTAGTTACTCAAAATCAATAAAGTATCAAAAGGATTAAAAATGACTAAATCTTGATGACAGGTTGCCAGCGGCTCAGCGCCGATCAAGTTACCCCCGAGCGGTCCTCGTGCGATGCCGCCGGCCCAGGACCCTGCGGCAATGGCCACGTTGAGAATACAGCCCCAACATTCAGCGAACAACCAGCCTCCCCCTCCTCCTCCCCGCGGACCTATGAATGCATCTGCTGTACGTAATTAGCTTGTCGCTAACAATCCAAAAAGCTAACTCTTCTAGGGACCATCCAATAACCCACAGGCTCCAAGACCCCCTCCGCCTCAGAGAAGGAAGCCTATAGATCCATTCATCAAGCGGAGGCCTACCAAACCTCGATAAAGTCCTAGGAAAGGCTACCCTCAAGGTATACGATCAATCTTCTTGAAGATAAATAGTATATCTCCTGTGATCAGGCATCATGGTAGCATCACGTCAAGCTTCAGTTATAGCAACCTTCAGTACTACAGTGTATGGCGTTCACATCGCCTATACTCTGCTCAGGACCATGGACAAACGTGTCTGCTCGTGCACTAATGGTGCATTATTGTAGCAATTAGGGAGACAAAAACTGCCAGGCACTGCATTGGCATGTGCATTGGTGTTTGTAAGGAGTGTAGAATTATGTGCCACGCAGAAACGTAAAGTGGGGAGTTGATTTCTTCTAGGCCAGGGTATTCTCAGGGGTCAGATGACTATACTTTCTCGATACCCGGTCTATGATCTTTTTCGATTCAGTACTTCTAGTATACAGAAGTCGGCGAAGGGTAGAAGGTTCATTGTATTGTGCATTTAGGTTGAGAAAAAAAAAGGACAGGTAGATATGACGCGTCAGGTGCTCTAGTAGGAACGTACCTACGAGGAAGAGCAACCTCAAATTCGTCAAACATAATCATAATGAGCCCGATGAAGAGAGGGCTACGTGCTGGTAAGTAGCAGATATGGCCAGTCACTGTGATTGTCCTTAAGACGCATTGCATTGCTTGATGATATCCTAGCTCTGTGTCCCTCGAATGTTTTTCCTTTTCTCGGAGATCAATCTCGTGAGAGTAAAATAACTCGCCCACATCTACTCCATATACAATTCCTTGACCGATGTTTCCCCTTCAATCCAAACCCTGCCTAGCAGAATGGCAACGTGGTGGCCCCTCCAGTTTTCTGCCGTTGAATAGCTGTGCCTGTACCCGTCAATATTGGCAAAAAATAGGCGCTATCGGTCGCACTTATGCCGACACGAAATGTCCTTGCGTACGCATGTTCCCCGTTTATTGTTTCCGAGATCATCACCGATGGAGAACTGAGGCGGGGGACAGACATGGACCATGGCTGCACCCCAGCAAGTTAAGTGAAGTTATGCGGAGAAGTCCAGGTTTCTACCCCGCAAAGCACGTATTTATATAGCAAGCCTCTTTCAGACGGCCATGGGTAGACGGCATAGTGGTCTAGGGTGTCTGGCGGGTTAGAGCCGGGAGTTGTCTTGGCTGCTTTTTCGTATAAGACGTCGGTCTGGGCCGGTGTGCTTAGGATCAGAACGGGGTAGAAAGACAGCTGGGAAGAGAGACCCTTCCTACTAATAGTATTAAAAAAAGGGAGGGAGAATACTGTCGAATCTCCCATAACGACAATGTCTCCTCCTCTACGCTACCTATCCACCGCGGCCGCGGCCCTCCTCCTCCTCCTCCACTCCCCGGCAGCCGCGCAGATCCCCGGCGCCGCCGTCCAATGCAACACGTTCAACGCCAGCCACGGGCCCTACACGCCGGCCTCGGCGGCGGCGCGCATCGCGCAGGCGGACGTCGCGGCCCTGACCTCGGACGCCACGGGGCCCATGGACGACGCGGTGCTGACGGCCGTCAACTTCGAGCGCTCGAACTGGGCCGGCACCTCGGCGAGGCTGGATCCGTTCTACGCCGACCTCGGGAGCAATAAGAACTGGACGGACCTCGGCCCCGGCCAGGTCGTCAAGGTCGAGCAGGCCACGGACACGTCCATGTATACCCTCGCGCACCCCCTGGCCATGTCGCGCTTGGTGTTCACGACCCGCACGTTTAATGGGAGCGTGGTGCCGGCGTCGGCGTATGTGCTTTGGCCGTTTGCGCCGAAGAAGTTTAGTGCAGGTTGGTTGGCGCAATTTATTTTTTTCCTCTTCCTCTGTTGTGCGTCTTTCTTTTACCAAATGTTCTAAGTGCTGATGCCGCGAACGCAGAAAACGCAACAGGCGCCGACGTCCCGGTCATAGCCTGGGGCCACGGCACCTCGGGCTGGTCGGGCGAGTGCGGGCCCAGCCATATCCGTAACCTCTGGTACCAGTTTATGATCTTCGAGGCGGCCGTTCAGGGGTACGCCGTCGTGGCCCCCGACTATGCGGGCCTTGGGCTGGATCACGATGGCAATGGCAATTTCATCCCCCATGAGTACTTGGCCAGTCGCGCCGGGGGCTACGATCTGCTGTTTGCGCAGAAGGCGGCGCTGAAGGCCTGGCCGGATGTGCTGAGCGAGAGTTATGTGGTTATGGGGCATTCGCAGGGGGGTGGTGCGGCGGTAGGTCTCTCTGTCTCTTGTAGACTCTATACGTATATCTCCTATCTTAAAAAAAAAAAAAAAAAAAAAAAAAAACTACATGCCATGAGAAACGCAGACTAACCACGATTTCTCTTGCATCCAGTGGGGCGCCGCCATGATCCTCAGCGGGAACGACACCGAGGCCACCGCCCTGCGCAAGGGCTACCTCGGCACCATCGCCGGGTCGCCCTGGACAAGCTTCGGGACCGCACTCGGGCTGCAGCGCTCAGCCGCAAGCCTCAGCTCGCTCATCGCGCGCATCGCCACGGGCGCGCGCTCGGTGATCCCCTCCTTCGCGCTGAGCGACTGGCTCACGCCGCTGGGCGTGCGCGCCGTGGAGCTGATGCAGGACCTGCAGGGGTGCTCGTCGGTGGCGGCGGTGCTGTTCGCGGGCGCGGGCCAGCTCGTGCGCGCCGACTGGCGCAACGCCACGGCGCACGCGCAGGCCTTCGAGCACCTGACCACCGTCGTGGGCAAGGACGTCGCGGGCCCCCTGCTCGTGCTCCACGGCACGGGCGACGCCGTGGTCAACGCCACCGGCGTGCGCGCTGCCGTCGAGAACACCTGCGCCCTGAACCCCCACGCGCAGGTCGAGCTCCTCGAGATGCAGGGCGTGGGACACACCGCGGTTATGTTCGCCGGCCAGACCATCTGGTTGGATTGGGTGGCGGAGCGGTTCCGGGGGGTGGAGGCGCGGCGGGGGTGTGATCCTAAGCCGCGGACGCTGGTCAAGCCGCTGTGGGATGTGGGGAGGTATCAGAAGGATCGGAATTGGTATATTGAGTACAATCAGTATGGGTATAGCGTTGCGTGAGGGATGTGCGGATGGGGGGGGAGAATGGGGATGGTAATAGTTATGTTTCGGTAATAAGGGAAATATTTTATTGTAGATATTGATTACTTGGAATGAAGAAAAACTACTTCGTATAATTACATGTTATTATATACGCGTGGGTTTCATGCTGGAGTAAAATATGAAGGTTGTTCATTATATTGACTCCAAATGTTGAGGACGACTTACAACTATGCATAGTGTTGTGAGGACTACATCTTGATATGAACCATGGGTTTAGGTGAAGTTTTAAGCTGCTACAATTTTTCTTTTATTTCATTTTTCAAGTTAATGCTGCAATAGGTTACGATAGATATTCTTTTCAGGTAAAGAAAATGTAAAAAATGAAAACAGGGGGCGTGTTGATTTATATCTTGAAAAAAAAATAATGTAGTTGTTTATTTTTCAACACGGCGCTATGGTCAACTGGAATACGTGTCTCTTCCATTCCCAGCACAATAAGTACTCAGACATAGAAAAAAAAAAGGAAAAACAAGTAGGTAACATCGACAGTAACTATGTGTACGATGGTGGGCTTGCCAACTTCATATGTACTACATACAAGTAAGTATAAGTAAAAAAGAAAAAGGAAAAATAGGAAACTACTCTGTGAAAGGAGAAGCAAAAAGATAATCTTTGGACTCGCGGGGAATTGAACCCCGGACCTCTTCCAGATTCAAGAACAGATCGAGAAGAAACCACCACGATGGGGAGGATATCTTCGGAAATCCATGCTAAGGAAGAATCATACCACTAGACCACAAGCCCGGCTTTGTATGTGACCGCTGCTTCTCCTGACGATGCTGTCAGACGAATCAGCTTACTCGGTCGATGGAAGACGAGTTTGTTATTGCGGTATATGTAGAGCAAACCCCTCAGGGTGGGAGACACTTTGAAGATTTTTTCTTCCCGTTCTGCTTAGTTTGGGGTCCGTGTGGGTATCCGTGTGGATCTTCCATCGCCCGGGTTATGATTAGCTGTGTTTGTCCCAGGGGGCGGAACCCTAAGCTAGGCTTTCTTTCTCTTTTTCTTTTTCGGTCGTAAATCTTTTCACTCTTCACCAATAGGATCGTCGGAGGGGTGGTATATAGTTCGTGAACAGACACTTAGGTTACATACTTATGCAGGTTAGCTTATGATGCTACATACATAAGTGGTGAGAAAGTTGACATGGCTAAGATGTGCTTGATAGCAGCTACATATCTTACCTCGGAAGCCAGCAAAAGCATAGGTCACCAAGTTTTCTTTTCGAGCTCCTATTATACGCTGGGGTTTTGTGATTGTGGGTTTCTTTCAATTAAGTTCATAAAATTGTCTCTAACTTGTCGTCCAAGTCCCATGAGCACATTAGAAAATTTGGAGTTACTCATATACAAACTCTAACCCATGATGGTAAGGGACAAGTCATGATCAGGCATTGCACATGTTAGCAAAAGAGATAATAAAATGTGCAATTAACATCAATACATTTATATTGGACCTGCAGCCCCTCGTTGTGGCTTCAGCCACAGATGCAGCTTCACCATACCAATCCCTAGCAACAAGGTGAATTACAGAACGTGCTTCCTAGCACTGAAAGTAAGAAACAATATGTATATGCAACTGTCCCTAAGACCATATTAGTTACAGAACCTGAATATATGCCATGTCATGCACCGCACATAATAAAGTAGGCTCCCTCAACATATGAAGTTCAGATGGATCTATTGTTCTCCAAAACTCTGTGATAGCATAGCTCGGGTAACCACGTCAATAAGTCAAATGCGTGCTCCTAAGCAGTGGTAGACAGCACTAATACTAGAGAGGCTGATGTTCTGTCGAGTTAGGTTTTGGTTCAATCGTAATTAGACTGTTCGTCCCCCGTGGCCGAAACGGTGTCAAATAAAATATCCTAAGGCAGGCGAAGATAATTATATTAACTAGATATTAACTCTCCAGAATCAATTCCAAAGCACTTGCAGATACCATCCCATGCCCAAGAAGAAAAGCAATATCAACCCAGATACCAGCACGGTCTTGTATCCTATCCTTTTCCTGTAGCCCCTTTCCCCAGCCTATATAGTACCGCCATTAACGTTAATCACAAAGAAGATAACCACCACACAGCCACTCGGTGTGTAGTTTTTTGCTTTGAAGTAGGTTATAAAAAAGTCGAACTTTCAAAAGTCATAGGAAAGGGGGTGAGGCGACTAGGTAGTAAAGAGACAAATCCTAGAACCCCGCAAACACGTCGTCGACATTTACAAACTCCTCCCCTCTCCCTTCCCCCTCTTCCCCATCGCTGTCGCGCTGGCCAGGATGGGTAACGCAAGAATACGCCGAGCTGCTCTCGTCCTCCCAGCGCGCGTGCTGCCTGGCCCGCCCCAACTCACGTCCATGGAAGCTCTGCGGGAGGTCCGTGTCGCAGAGGTTAGCGAGGCCGGGTGCCGGGCGCGAGTTGCTCGACGGAGCATGTACCGGCCGTGGCTGGTCCCTATACCGCTGCGTCACGGCCCGGGATCGGGATGCTGATGATAAATGGCCTGGTGGGTAGCTCTCCCGCTGGATGGCCTGCTGCTCCTCCAGGCAGCGGTTGATGTTCTCCAGCAGCGGCCCCAGGGAGCGTATCAGGTACTCGACGTTGCGCTCGAGCCGCCGCTGGCGCTTCTCCATGTCGTAGATGTACGTCTCCTTCAGACTTTCGTAGCGGTCTAGTAGCTCCTGGCGCGACAAGCTCTCGGTCGTCTCCTTTGGCTCTGCTAGGGTCTTTGCGATCTGTCGTGCCTTGGGCGGCTTTGGCTTCTCCCCACGCTCTACTTTTTTCTCCGCTCGTCGGCAAGAGGAGCTGCGCGTGGGGATGCGGTGTTGAGGTAAGAATGAGGAGGTACGCGAGGGCGGCATCCGCTCGGCCTCAGCGAATGGGGTGGGCTTGTCTCCCTCCCCATATTTACTGAGAATAGCTGGGGGTAACATTCCCGGCAAAGTTGGCTGTATTTCGGGCATCATTCCGAGCATGGAGTCTAATGGTGCGATTTTTGGTCTCTTCCTATCCAACAGTGGTCTATCATTTGGTAATGGCCAGCTTCGCTCATTTTCAGACTGTCCATGGTCATGTTTGGTTGTACTCTTGGTCGCCTGCTCATCTGTGTTCACCGTTTCAGGGCCATCCAGGGGTTGTTGTGCTCCGTTCATATCTTCCGCATTGCTCTTGTTCATGTTGTCTTTGCTACTTTCTGCACCTTCTGTCGACGGTTGCAAGGATATCTCGGGTAACTTTGTCCGGACAAAGTTACCGACTCTCCGTAAACGGGGAATCTTGGTAGAATTGGGGTCCAATGGAGTTTCGATGTGACACTGCAGTGGCGTTGCAGCCACGATAGGTATGGTGCGATATGCTCTAGCCGCTTCCGCCCTGAGAACCTTGGGAGATGGCTCGTTCGTACGTAAACTCTCAAAGGAACCTATCGGTAGAAAGTTGTTGCTGGCCTCGTTAAGGTTAACAACACCACCTGCTGATATGTACGAGCTATTATGAATAGGAGTTTTCGTCATTTCATTGCCCTGAGACCGCGTCTTTGCCTTTTTACTTGAAGTTGGTGACAGCTTGACTTCGATTGCTGGGTTCGTTGGCGGAATGATTATAGGGGCCGATGCGCCATTCCCTTTACTCGATTGGCCCTGGGAAGAGCCGTCATGGTTTGTTTGTTCATTCCTCCTTTGTGGCAAGCCTGTTGATCTACTGTACTCCTCCGTTCTCTCGGGTCGTGGGACTTCAACCGTCTGAACATCATTCTTAACACCCAAAACATTTAATTTGGATCTTTGGGAGTTCGGTATGATGCCTTTCTGGACTTGACTTAAGTCTGTGTTCTGGGACGGGGTTTCATCCCGGGATTGATTATTGCTATTCGAGTAGCCTTCGGATATCTCGAGCGGGCCTCTATTTTTTGAAGCCAGCTTCTCCTGGATTTGTGCCATGGAGGTTGACAGAGAGTCCGGGTGTCGCCAATTTATGGGATTTTGTTTAATACAAAGTGTGCTTGAGGACAGAGACGATGATGGTCCTACACTTCAAAGACTGATTCAAATACCGTCATAAGTTAGTCAGTAACTACTTTCAGTCAGAACCTTGGAAGAGCTCGTCGGTTGGCGGTTCTCTTTTCTGGGCTATTTAATTTATTGTTTAATGAAGGGCCAGGTCCTAGATAAGGGTGATGGCTATATTCGTCAATATTTTTAGCAGCAACCGCAAAATAGGGGAGTTGAATGACACACAGACTATACTTCTCAAATTTTCTCCCGCATCGAAAAGGTTTGAATATGCTTCGGTTTTAGCATCGGATAAACTAAAATTGTGCGCATGGCCATAGAGTTCTTTAAAGGAGTGTGCTCATAAGGGACTGTATCATATCTTCGAAGTAGTCTTCACCTTATTTATTCTTTCGTAGTTGTCCGGGATCCTCTGCTTTTGTAACATTTGTATGTCGACAAGGTCCATAAAGCCGCAATGGTAGCACATCGTCACCAAGAGACCCGGCATGATTAGTGCCTGGTCTCATATCTAATATGGTGCGAAGAATAGAGATGACGAGGTACAAAATGTAGGTTACTCAGGTATCAAGTGCTTCTGTTAATGTCTTTCTTTTCGTTTTGATATCAGCCGGGCTACCCATGAGCGAATAATCATCAATAATGCTCTTTTTTTTTAAGTTTCCCGCCTTTGAGTTGCCAAACTTTTCAAGTAATGATTCCACTAATACTACCTCTAAGTTTCTATTCTCGTCCTTGGGGAGCGATTATTAAGCAATACATGTTGAAACAATCCTCGGTCTGTTTAATAAGTCTACGTCGGATTAAAAAAAAAGGAAAATCAAAGGGTATTCCACCACAGCAGTCATAGGTGATTCGAAGTAATCCTGGGGTCTATAAACGGCACGCTTCCTCAACGGTATCAACGAAGTACTGATTAAAGCCACTTTAAGTTCAAAGATTTCATATTTTCCCCGATTTTTGATTCAATACTACCTATGTATGAAGAGAGTGTAGTTGCTAACGTCGTGATGTACGATGCAGAGGAAATTTTGAACGTCCTCCGCCGAAATGCTGCAATCAAGTTTCATGGCTTGGAGCAAAGGTGGCGGGTTAACATTGTAGTAAATCATGTGTCTCACAGTACCTCAGAATGACTAGATAAATAGAATCGGGGGCGTCCAAAAAGTCTAATAAGCAATCCTCTAACGTACGTCACAGTCCATGTTGTCTTAGGTGAACCATAGAATCAATAACTCGTTATTCGGAAGCTTGAAATTTCGGGCACAAGTCCAGTGGCAGGTAAACGAGAAACAATCTTCTAGTTGTTGTTTATAAATAAATTGAATATGGAATAGTTTAGTATAGGAATAACAAGCAGCACCAAATCTGGTCGAGCTATAATTATGAGACCTACCTAACCCAGCGGGTCCCTCACAGCGTCATTATCTCTCATGGACACATTCCCTAAATAGATATCGTAGTATATGTGTGCGAACTAGTGACTACATCACATTGTGTTAGTGCTTGTTCTTTCAAGCAAGTCTTGAATCGGATTGGGAATGATGATTCATCAGCGCGTATTAGTCGATATCATTGACATCGTGTTTAAATAACGATAAAAACAATATTAAAACAAGCTATACGACTATAATTGGGAAATCCGGCGTCTATCCCACGAGCTGGTGAATCCTAACGAAGTTTCCGGTTTTTATTTTCCTCTTCTGTGACCTCCCTAACCGCTCGACCAATTAGGATCA